GTAGATAGATTAAAAAAAGAGGCACGCGACTTCGAAAAAATTACGAATAGAAGTACGCGCGTTTCTGGAAACATGTGCTGGTTCCCGAACCGACTCTTAGGTCATTGCAATAGGTCTTCCTTCATCCGACGAGAGCACTTTGGCTCGATTTTCTCGCCTGGCTCTCTTGCCTTGCCTTCTCGAGGGATGTCGATGATCGTCACGCGATCTTCGCAGAAAAAAGAGAGACCTAGTGGGTCCGTGTATCACGTGTGCGTGTCCCACATCATGGCCGGTCGATTGTTCGACCAATTATTCGTCCGTCTGCCTCACAATAGGCTTCATACGTGCATTCGTGGACGAATGTGCTCGCTGATTTCCAGAAATATCATAAAAATAATACTTTGAATTTAACATTTTTAATTTTATTTAGATATTGATTGGACAAATATTGTTTTACTTTTTTTGGAATTTAATTCAATATCAAATGAATGAAATCGATATGTACTTAGTTGAAAAAAGATTAAGATTTGGATAGAGGTTTTTTTTTTTTTAAATGAAAAATTTGATTTTTGTTATAGATATTGAAAAAGTCGTATCGTATCAATTTGTTAACACGATTTAGAACGCGAATATTTCTGGATTTCAGTTAAAAAAAATTAAATATTCGTTTACGAATATCACGTATACGGGATCATTATAGTATAATTCTTCATACGTAATTTAACGTGGGATACGCGCATGATCCGCGTTATGGACGAACGGAAGACCGAGAAGACGAATCGAATATTCGGTTTGACCGATTGTTCTTCCTGGAAGGACGCAGGCAAGTCTAGAACGAAAATTCGCCATTTAAATTTAAAGGCAATTGTGATATTTTTTCTCAAAATTTTATCGAATTAATTAGACGAATTCGCCGCGAGTCTACATTATAATTAGGCAGGAATTTTATGGGGATGACGATGAACCGATGAAAACCGTCGAAAAATAAAACGATGTATCGGTAAAGATAAAGATTTATGGGGATAAAAAACAAAGAATTATAAAAAAAAAAAAAAGAAAAAAAAAGAAAAAGAAACGTGTTGAAAACAAAATTTTATACACCAATTATTATACTGCCAGATTAAAAAATAATTCAATGAAACGAATAAAAAATTATACGAAAAAAAAAAGACAAAAAAAAGTATAAAAAACGAAGATAAGCGATTAATATCGTTTCGAGCTTCGTGTACGAAGAAATACACACACATACACACACCATATAAGCTATCTTCGTGTGTGTCGAGCTCAGGCTGCTTGCTAGCCTCTTCTCGACGACCTAAGACCGCGTTCGCCGACTGAAGGGAAAAATAAGAGACAAAATAATGCTGCGTGCACGAAATTTCGTTAGAGATAGGCTTCGCAGTTGAATCGATCGATCGATTGTACTCTAGCGACAAGATTCTCTTTCCAAGATCTTGCTTATTCTGGTTATATTACATACATATAAATGCGTGTATAATATACGTGTGTATAGGAAAAAAGAAAAAACATAAAATTTCATGGGGCAGAAATTCTGGACGTGGAGCAACTTCTATATTCGTCTACGAAATGTTTCTAACTTAACCTTTATGGTGTCGAAATTCACTTTATATATATTATTCACTCATTCTCAAGGAGTGTTAATTTTAGATCAAAATGAAATTTATTGATTTACAATTCTTTGAAATAACATTGTCGAGTCTCATAAGACGGAAAAATAAATTTTAACACAAAGTCGAAATCCGTATTGAATGATGTTAGAACGATGGTACTTTTGCACTTTAGAGGTTAAACTGATATCGTCAAACGTGCTCCATCTCGCTTTCGATCGTCCGCACAACTCGCGTAAAATTAAACACCAATTGTTTTTTTTTCGTATAGTCGAAAAGAACGATACGCAAAATAAGAAAGTAGAAAAGGAAAATATGTATAGAGAAAAAGGAAAAAAAATTTGATCGTTCATTTTACAAAGGATCGCTTCGAAACGTGACCATAGATTTCGCTGCTATCGCAGCAAATATAAACGATAATTAAAAAATACTTTATCGATAATTATTCGTAATTATTGATATTATTATTATTATTATGATTGTTATTACATTCGTTTTTTTTTTTTTTTTATCAACGAGACAAGCATTACGCATATCTCATTTCTTGTTTATAAAAAGCGCCGAAACTCGAAACGAGAAATTCAAAGGGTATTTCAAAGACTATAGATATAGTTAATTCGTTTTTTTCTCTCCCTCTCTCTTTTGTTTCATTATCTACGAGAGGAGACTATTTCCATCAATGTTGATCGATGCTCAGTTTTTCTAGTACAACTTAATAATCGCGCGAATTCTTTTTATCTTCGTTTTCCCGCATAATTTAACAATTTCAAATCGTGTATTAATATTTAATATATATATATATATATCTATGCATATATATATGATAGTTATATTAATGTTCTAATCATATATGCATATATATATGCTTATAGTATGTACCGTTATAATATTACTTGAGATTAAGAGATTTGTCGGCTGATAAAATAGGGGGAAGAAAAAACAAAAAAAAAAAAAAAAAAAAAAAAAA